CTCTCCGGGGTTTGTCCGTTCCCGGCCGCTGCTCCGGGAGGGGAGAAGACGACATGAGGGCCGAATTGTCGTCTGGTGTCGCTCTGCCCACTGCAGTGGGATGAGGTTGGGTTGCACCAGCTGAGCGTCTGGGTCTGGGAAGCAGGGGCTAGAGACTTTCCCTTGGACTGCCTCAGGGAAGTGCGGAGCGGTTGTTCTCTGCAGGGTCTTGCCCACAGTACTGTGTGCGGCACAAACACCGAGAAAAAGGACCGGCCTTGCCATCTCGAATGAGGCTGTTGCAGATCGTGCTTCCCCGCCCCCAGAAGTCTAGCCTGGCGCCCATCGCCATAGTATCTGGGCTCCTTCCACGTCCCCAGTGGGCTCCGTGGAGTGTCTGACCCCCCTCCCTTTCGGGGAGGTTTGCGTCGGGCTGGCTCTTGTCAGAGGCTTTGTCCTGGGGCTGTCTGGGTGGAAGGATGCTCGCGTCACTCGGGCTCTCCAAGAGGAAGGCTTTGCAGAGACGCTCAGGCTGCGCTGGGTCCTCTCCGCTTGGGCCTCAGATGTCAGGCTTGTTCCCGGGCTTTGTGAGCCATGGCGTCCCAGACCAGCGCGTCCCAAGGGTCTCTGCCGTGCTGCCCGCTGCTCCCCCAACTCCAGAGACCCAGCTCTGCCCCCAGCCTGGCCCCAGACAGCTCCCCAGTCAGGCAGTGGTGGAAGCCCACAGGGCTCGGTCCTAGGAGCTCCTGGCTGCATTGCCGGGGATCCAGGGCCGAGGCTGGAGCGAGGTCTCCGTCGCTGGTGGCTGCGGTGGGAAGCCAGCGTGTGCCAGCCAGGCCTGAGCGTCAGGGCGTAGTGGGAAGCTGCTCCCCCCTCGCCCGGCCCTGCTTCTGCTTGGGCCCAGACGTGGCCCGTTCCCCTGGGGGTTTCTCGGCCCAGGAAGCCCCGTGCAAGTGAACGTGCCCAAAAGAGCAGTGCTGCCCAGCCCAGTAACAGCCCTGGGTGCTCTGTGAACCCCAGCTTGGTAATGGCAGGGCCAGAGACTCCGCAACTGCCCACGGCACGTGCCAGGTAAGCCGTGGCCAGGGGACCTGTTCGCAGGATGGGCTCCCTGTGGGAGTGTAGGCAACTGGGTCCTGGGCTAGAAAACCATGCACCATCTGTTCCAGCTGGCATGCTCCCGGCTTGCAGCCCCTCGGCTCCTGCCCCCCACGCACCCCTGGGCTGCCCTGGCACCAAGGGGCCATTTCTTGGCAGGCTGCAGCGTCAGGTTTGGGGTGTGGTGGAGCCTCCCTCCAATGCACTGAGCTGCGGTCACAGCCCTGCTGTTGCTAGCCATGGGGCTGCAAGCCCCATAGCGACAGCTCAGAGGGAAGCAGGTGGGCCCCGGGAGAACCTGGCTGTGTGGCGATCCTGTCTGGGGGGCAGCTGTACTGGGCTGGGGGAGGGCTCGGGCTCTCCTGGCACCCAAGGTATCTGTACAGCCCCTAGCGCGAGGGGGGGCGCTGTAGCTGCTCCTCCCGGGGAGCCAAGCAGGACATCCCCCAGCTCTCTCCCCTCC